GACGCCAACGCACACCAATGACCACACCATGGGACGGGTCGGTGATGCGCCCACTGCTCGATACGCCGCCTGCACTAGCCTGGCCTGGCCTGGCCGGCCGCACGCCAACAGCAGGATCTCACCTCGCCGCACCGCACCGCACTGCGCGCGTACGACACAGGCTTCACTTTCACTACGCCTCGGGGTTTCGAGCACACCCTTTGACTTGCACACATGTTAAACTCCCTGGTCCGTGTTTCAAGACGGGTCAGGTGGCTAGTCTACCACCGCACCACGGACTATCCCACCCCCGGTACCTTATGCACCCGAGGCAACGCGGAGCCGCTCACCGTGACACGCGACGACGGACCACCGGCAAACCCGCATTTTGCAGGCAACAGGGCAGCCACGCCCCACGCCGATAAACAGCCGCGCGCCCCACTCCACTGCACCTGTGACGTGCGTGCCGGATACCCTGACCGCCCGTGGGTTCGAAGGAACGAACGAACGAACGAATGAGGCGGATAGAACCGATGCCCTGCACAGTCACCTACACCACCGCAGCCCGCCAAGCCACCAACAGTGCGGTCACAGCACAGCAGACAACAGCAGCTCGTTGACAGGAAGCGCACGATAGCACGCGGCAGCACCGGAGCACCACCGCGCCGTCCTATCACCTGTCCGCGATCGTGCCCACCTGATCCATCCCACTCACCTGTCGGTCAGCCAGCCAGCCAGTCAGCGGTGAAGCCAACTAACTGACCAATCGAGCGAGGAGGTGGAGGAGAAGGACTACCAGCCGGGCACGACTCGACCACGGCAGACTGGCAATCCCACCGGTCGTGGTGTTCGCCACGGAGAAAGTGCACTGACTGCAAGGCCCACAGACGAGTGGCATGCTCCGGCGCCCGTCCGACACGCATAGCACAGACCGCAACCTCGGATCTACCGACCACCCACTCCACCCCGCCCTCCGCATATTCACGCACCCACCCACCCACCCACTTACCTAACCACCAGTCCACCCACCGCAGGAGAGATAGGTGGACACACAGACGGATAGATAGATAGATAGACAGACAGACAGACAGAATAGACGGCGGTGTGGTGAAGGAGAAACAGTGGCCCGCGATCACAGTCATGCTCCGCTCCTCCACATGGAGTGGACCACCGCCTCTCTCCGGCCCATTAACGGCGACGCACTAGGCGCGCACACTACACCGCAGCCAGCCGAGTCCTCCCGGCTAGCAGCTTGACGCCACCCGCTTACCTGCACGCGGTTTCACGCACTCTTTACTCTCTCTTCAGAGTACTTTTCAACTTTCCCTCACGGTACTTGTCCGCTATCGGACTCGTGCCTGTATTTAGCCTTGGATGGAGTTTACCACCCACTTTGGGCTGCAATCTCAAACAACCCGACTCCTGAGCCGGCCTGGTGAACCGCCTCACCTGCCTGAGCCTCCACTCTTACGGGCTGGACTTGGAGTGGAGTGGCGGTCCCGCCAGCCAACCCACACACCACATGGCCTACCGAAAAACCTGCCGCAGGCTTCGGTACTGGGCTTCTCCCTCTTCACTCGCCGTTACTGAGGGAATCCTGGTTTGTTTCTTCTCCGCTTATTAATATGCTGCATCTCC